GATTTAGGCTTTGTTAGGGGGCTTTAGGGGGGGGGGGGAGGGGTTGTTGGGGGGGGGGGGGGGGGTTTGGTTTTTAGGGAGGGGGTTTGTGGGGGGCTTTGGGGAAGATCTTAGGGGGGTTAGGGTGTTTTTTTTTTTTTCGGTTGTTTTTTTTTTAATATTTTTTTTTGCCGGCTTTTTTGGGGGGTGCCCTAAACCCTCACCATGGCCAGGCCGACTCGCAGCAGCAGGCGGGCCTGCCAGCAAGGGCTCTGGCTCCGGGGATTTCGGGAGGCAGCCCCTAAACCCGAAAGCCCTAAACCCTAAGGCCCTAGGCCCTAGACCCTAGACCCTCCCTAACCCCTAAACCCTAAACTCTTAACCCTCAACCCTAAACCCTAAACCCTAAGATGCTGCTGCGCCCGGATATAATTAGGGGTTTACGAAACTTAGGGGACCCCTAAAAAAACCCCAAATAGTAGGATTCCCTTATGATAAGGGCCCCAACAAGGTACCCCAATTTCAGAAAGCACCACATATTTTTCTCTTAATCCGAAACCCTCCGCGTCCAAGGCCAAACTCAAAACCCTCAACCCCGAACCCTGATATAACAACCCCTAGACCCCCCCAAAATTCCCAAGGCCCAAAGGCACGTATCTCCTGCAATCCCTTAACCCTAGACAGTATGAGGTAATGCACCCCTTACAAGAAGCCACAGCCACCAGAACGCTTTAGGGTTTAGGGTTTAGGGTGTAGGGTTTAGGGCTTAGGGTTTAGGGTTGTTCAGTTTCTTCCACATGGGCCTCTTCTTGAGAAGAAGGTCTAGCTGTGCTTGGGGATAATTTTGGAAATTTCCCTTCTTTCCCTATAAGGGAACCTATTCATAGCTAATTTTCAAAGGGTTTAAAGTTTAAGTCAGCTAACCTACTTGGCGATTCATGGTACTTATTGACCCAATTATAGCTGTACTTAGAGCCCAATTATATCCTGATTAGGGCGCCTAAGGGGCACATAAGTGGGGTATGAGTACAGTTATATCTGGTTACGAAGTACCATGAACCTCCAAAAGTAACCCTAAACCCTAAACCCTAAACCCTAAACCCTAAACCCTGAACCCTAAACCCTAAACCCTAAACCCTAAACCCTAAAAGAGCCCTAAACCCTTAACAAGTACCATGAACCTCCAAGCAGGCCTCTCCGGAAGACCTCAGCTTCCCAACCCTCAAACTCTAACCAAAGCGCCAGAATCTGGGACAGGAGTTCCTGGCAGTCACCGTGCGGGACCCAGGGTAGACCCTAGACCCTAAACTAATCCCTAAACCCTAAACCCTAAACCCTAAACCCTAAACCCTAAATTCCCACCCGGCCTGCTTAGGCCGTATCCACCCTTTTCCAGGGTGCCTGGACATTTTTACTGGATGGACAATGGGTGGAGCCATTGGAGAATGGTCGAATAAAGAGCCCCTCGGGCTCGCCTTGCCACTAGGCCACCAGAGTGGCGCCCATATTTACACAGGGATCTTCTCTGATCCTCCTCTTGATGAGAACACCCTAAAATTAAGGACCGGAGCCCTCAGTACCCCCCCCTGGCCCCCCCTGGCCCCCTTGACCCCCCCTGACCCGCCCTGACCCGCCTAGGCATGACACGCCTCCCTGTCCGGCCCCTTTTTGGCCCCCCCCCTCACTCCTGTGTTCCCCCTTACCTGATCCCTGTCCCGCTACCTTCACCACACCTTTGTAGGGAAAGCAACGGTGGGAATTGAGGGCGGCAGCCCTAAACCCTAAAAGGCAGTGGTTTGGGTGGTGGCCTGTGAAAGCTCACAGCGGGTGGGGAGAAAGAACCCAGCACCAATGAAATTGTTGGATTACATTGACAAAAGCTGCCTTCGTGTGACATGCCGCCCCCCAACACACCCGCTGGGTGTGTAGGGGCGCCATTTACGCATGGCACTTACTGCCGCTGCGCGGCGACGCCCTAAACCCTAAACCTTAAATTTAAACCTTAAACCCTAAACCCTAAACCCTAAACCCTAAACCCTAAAACCCTAAACCCTAAACCCACTTTTTTGGGGTGGGGAGGGGGGGGGTGCATTTGGAGTCCGCACTGAGGACGCCACGCAGCAGGAACAGCCCAAGGAGGCCTGGTGGAAGGGTTTTGGGTGGCAACCCTAAACCCTAAACCCTAAACCCTAAACCCTAAACCCTAAACCCTAAACCCTAAACCCTAAACTAAGTGAGGGGTCGCTTCCGTCGAGCGACAGACCCCGAACGCTCGGCCGAGGGCCTTACAGGCCGAGCGCCCAAGCGAAAAGAGAAACGGAAAGGTGAGGGTTAAGCCTCACCGTCTGTCCTGGACAGGCCAACGGACATCGGCCTTTTTTACGACAACGTCAGTACTCGGCTAAGGGATGGCCGGCACCCAGACCACCTTTAGCGTAGCTAAAGTATAACCCCAAATCGTAACCCTTTGCCGGTTCAGGGTTTTGGGTTCAGGGTCTGCCGGGCCCCCCCCCCCGGGGGCCCCCTGGCCCCTGGTAGCTGGATTCCTGGACCAGGAGGCTGGTGAGGGGTCCAGGCAGGCTGGTTGCTCAATTCGTGGATGTCGGGGCGCCACAAGGGTCCCGAGCCAAGGGCCCCCGGGCCAAGGGCCCCCCCGGGCCACCAGGGCCAAGGGCCCCCGCCAAGGGCCCCCCTGGCCAAAGGGCCCTCCGGCCAAGGGCCCGTCGGGCAAGGGGCTCCTTGTGACCAAAAAGCCCCCACAAACCAAAGCCCTTGGCCCTGATCCTTAGCCCATGCAGCGGGGGTTCTTGGTAAGGGCCCCCCAATCAGGGCTCGGCCAAGGGCTTCTCGGGCTAAGGGCCCCCCACACCAACGCCCTTGCAGGGAATTGCACAAAAGCTTCAAAAGGCCCAGTAAAAGAAGGGGGACTACAAGATTTGTCCGTGCCCACAATGAAAAATGCGATTTTTGAATATTGAAAACATTGTTTTTAGGCATCCCTGCCCGCAATGAAAAATGTTCTTTTTTTAGTACTGAAATCAATGGCTCCCCCCAAATCAGCAAGGACCTCTACGGGCCCTGACGCGCCGAAGGCCCGAAAAGCACCGAGGCGACCCCAAACCCCAGCCTCAACCCTAACACCGCAAAACCCCGACGGCCTTCAAGCAAATAAGGGCCTCTACGGGCCCTAACGTGCCGAAGGCCCGAAAAGGGCCGAGGCTACCCCGAACCCCAGCTTAAACCCTAACACCGCAAAACCCTGCGAAGGCCTTCAGGCAAATAAGGGCCTCTACGGGCCCTAACTTGCCGAAGGCCCGAAAAGGGCCGAGGCTACCCCGAACCCGAGCTTAAACCCTAGCGATTGAAATACTCATTGGCGAAAAACTCATTAATAGGTTCCCTGACCTTTAAATGAATAAAGCCTCTACGGCCCCTGACACGCCGAAGGTCCGAACAAGGCCCCTAGAGACCCCAAGAGCCACCAAAATGCTTCAAAAGGCTTCAAAAGGCCCCTTAAAAGAAGGGGGACCCCAGGATGCCCGTACCCGCAATTAAAAATGCGATTTTTTGGTAGTGAAATCGATGCTTAATTGAGGCCCTTAAAGAAGGGGAATCCAGGAGCAGACACAAAGCGTTTCCCTGACCTTCAAATAAATAAGGGCCTCTACGGGCCCTGATACGCCGAAGGCCTGAAAAGGGCCGAGGCTCCCCCCAACCCCAGCTTAAACCCTAACAGCGCAACTTTAAAAACATCAAAGCAAGCATCAGAGCACAAGAAAATAAATTCCATAAACCCTAAACCCTAATAGAGTATAGTTTGGGTGGCCGGGGTGGGTTGACGGGCAACGCGAGCGCGCGGCCCGGGGTGTTTCACACCCGAGCGCGCGCCCTCCCCTGACACACCCTAAACCCTAAACCCTAAACCCTAAACCCTAAACCCTAAACCCTAAACCCTAAACCCTAAACCCTAAACCCTAAACCCTAGACCCTAGACCCTAGACCCTAAACCCTAAACCCTAAACCCTAAACCCAGAACCCCGAACCCTGAACCCTAAACCTTAAACCCTAAACCCTAAACCTCTCTCACCATATAACCCTAAATGTTAAACACGAATTAGGCAGTCCGACCACCATTGTTCAGCACGAATTAAGCAATTTGATCCATCTTGCCCCCTCTGACCCGTTTGACCCCCCGTTGTTCAGCACGAATTAGGCAATTTGATCCATTTTGGCCCCTCTGATCCCTTTGACCCACATTGTTCAGCACGAATTAGGCAATTTGATCCATTGGCCCCTCTGACCCCTTTGGCCCCGCATTGTTCAGCACGAATTAGGCAGTTTGATCCATTTTGCCCCCTCTGACCCTTTTGATCCCCCATTGTTCAGCATGAATTAGGCAATTTGATCCATTGTGGCCCCTCTGACCCCTTTGAACGAACTAGGCAATACTTTGCCCCCTTTGACCCCCCCATTGTTCAGAACGAATTAGGCAATTTGATCCATTTTGGCCCCTCTGACCCCTCATTGTTCAGCACGAATTCGGCAATTTGACACATTCTAGGCCTGGTGTTTAGGGTTTCAAGGCCTCACGGCCTGGCGTTTAGGGTTTCAGGGCCTCACGGCCTGGTGTTCAATGCTTTCGAAGCTGCGGTCTGCGGACATGAAGAGGCTGCTCGTGCCGGAGCTCTGGGAGAAAGCCAAACGCTGAGATGGTCATGCTGACACCTCACTTGGAGGTGCTCAATGAGGGCAAAGGCTCCCAGAGCGACTCCAAGGATACCGGCAGCTTTCGAAGTGTTAAGAAACGTCGAACCGGCACTAGCTCGGCGTTCGACTCTGCGCCCGCCACCGACGAGCAGCTTGTGGCGGCCGTGAAAGCATTCTACAACTGGTGCCAGGCGCCGAAGAGTCCGCTGAGGTCCATGCTCTTCCTGCTGTCGGGCGGCAACACGTTCTACACCTCTCATTGCGCAGGGTTGGTGGCCAGGGCCTGCATTCAGCACAAGCCGATGACCGAATAACATTGGGTGGAAGCCATGCGCGCGCGTGTTGCACGCGAGGCAGAGCCCCGGCGCGCCGGCTGGCCAGACATCCGACACCTCGGGCCTCTTCGGCTGAGCCCCAAGAACAGGTCGGGACCAATCAGTTTTGATCTTCTGCGCGGTCGTCTCTGCATGCAGATGTTGAAGTTCTCACGCGTAAGTCGGGAAAGCTTCTCGAACTGCAGCGAGACCTGTGTGCGGTGCGTAACTGCGACCTTAGCTTCTCCGGAGCCGCTCCGGGGCCGCTCCTGGGCTGAAAGCCGGCAGAAGAGAACCTTGCGTCCGAGTCTGCTGTGATTACACGGGTTCCAGGCCGCCGAAAGAGAACCCGGAAGTGTCCGGAAAACTGCCACCTTAGCTTCTCCGAAGCCGCTCGAAAGAGAACCCGGAAGTTTTCGAAAAAGCTTCTCCGGAGCCGCTCCGGGGCTGGAAGCCGGCAGAAGAGCCGTCCGCCAATTTGTTGTGTATTGTTTTGGGCCTGCTGGGCAAACACGAAACATGGGGTTCAGATTTTGTTGTCTTTTTTTTTGGGGGGGGTTGTTCGCGCCCGAAAACAAGAAACATAAGGCTAACAAAACTAGGTTCCAGTTTTTGTCTGTTCGTGCTCGTGCCGGAAAGCTCCGGAGTGATTTTGATTTTTTGGCCCTGCCCCTCCTTTTTTGTTTTGACATGGTTGCTTGTGCCCCGGTGATTTGATCCGTTTCAGCCCCTCTGACCCCTTTGGTTTGGCCCCCCATTGTTCACGCGCTGCAGCTCAGCGAGCCACGAAGCCAGCTGGGCGCAGGACTGACTCAGGACTCAAGGTTCCTGGATGGAATAACTTGAGGTCTGTGTGATTGTTTGGCCTCTTGGTGCGTCTGAATAGAAATTAAGAAAAACTTTTTATTGTCTTAATGTTATGGGATTCTTTGGGCGGGGGTGGGTTTTTTTCCGTTGACTACACACACTGCTGGCCCAGTAAATGCTCGAACTTGAGATGCTGAACCCTAAACCCTAAACCCTCACGACAAAACCAATAGAATTTGTACGTGGCATGATTTTGAATTTTCCCAAGTTACTTGTCTAAACAGCTGACAAGCAAAGTTTAAAATTAAAGAAGGTACAGAATGAAAATGAATGAAACTCATGAAAATGAATCAAAATTAGTGAAACTTAATGGAAATTAATGAAAGTGAATGAAAAATTCTTGCAATTAACTAAAATTCATTCAAACTCATGAAAATTCATTAAAACATATTACAATTAACTAAAATGAATTTACTGAAAATTAGTGAAAATGAATAAAAAACTAAATTAAATTAACTAAGTTGAACAAAAATAGTTAAAATCAATTAGAACCAATAAAAGTCATTAAAATTCATTGAAACTCATTAAACGTAATTTGAATTATACAAGCAGTTAAAATTAGTCAAAATCACTTAAAGTTAATTAGAAGTTATTAAATATTAATAAAGTTAAGTAAAACTATCTAAAAAACATTTATTAACACCAATTAAAACTGACTAGAATTTAAAAAAGAAAAAACTAAAATTGATGTTGCTGCACTGTGTGTCTGAGGCCGCGACCTGTCGACAAGTAATTTAAATATTTAAAAATGTTTAAAAGTAGTTTAACAAAAATAAAAACTGATCAATTTGTTTATGTTTCAAGTAATTAAGACTAATCAAAATTGATAACAAGTAATTGAAATCAAGCAAAATTAGTTAAAACTAAATCAAAAATCAAAATTTACTTCAAATTGATTAAAGGTATTTACGAATAATTAAATTTAATTGAAATTAATCAAATTTCATTAACATGAATTAAAATTAGAAACGCGAAAGTTTATTTAAAACGAATGAAGCAACTAACATTGATTAAAACTCATTAAGAGTAATTAAAGATACTTCAAAATTGACAAAGCAATCTTAAATTAAGTTGATTAAAATTTCTTTGAATTATTAAATTATTAGAATTCCCTACCCCCCCCCCCCCACGCCAACCGTTATACAATTTCTATAAACCCCTAAAACCTAAACCCTAAACCCTAAACCCTAAACCCTAAACCCTAAACCCTAAACCCTAAACCCTAAACCCTAAACCCTAAACCCTAAACCCTAAACCCTGAACCCTGAACCCTAAACCCTAAACCCTAAACCCTACGGGTCGGGTAGACCCTGGGTGTGGCGGGGAGTTCCCTGGGCTTTTTCTCCATGGAAAGTCAGCTGGGTCAACTCTGTCGGCTTCTGACGGTTTAGTGTTGAGTGTGTGCCTTCCTTTCTCTCTCAGAAGCCCTAAACCCTAAACCCTAAACCCTAAACCCTAAACCCTAAACCCTAAACCCTAAACCCTAAACCCTAAACCCTCTCTTTCTTATATATATTTAAACCTTCGGCCGATTTCGGCCACGGCCGAAAAGCCACGAACACTGGTCCCCCCAGTGTTCGGCCGATTTCGGCCTGGCCGAAAAGCCACGAACACTGGTCCCCCCAGTGTTCGGCCGATTTCGGCCACGGCCGAAAAGCCACGAACACTGGTCCCCCCAGTGTTCGGCCGATTTCGGCCTGGCCGAAAAGCCACGAACACTGGTCCCGCCAGTGTTCGGCCGATTTCGGCCACGGCCGAAAAGCCACGAACACTGGTCCTCCCAGTGTTCGGCCGATTTCGGCCTGGCCGAAAAGCCACGAACACTGGTCCCCCCAGTGTTCGGGCGATTTCGGCCTGGCCTAAACCCTCTCTTTCTTATATATATTTAAACCTTCGGCCGATTTCGGCCACGGCCGAAAAGCCACGAACACTGGTCCCCCCAGTGTTCGGCCGATTTCGGCCACGGCCGAAAAGCCACGAACACTGGTTCCCCCAGTGTTCGGCCGATTTCGGCCTGGCCGAAAAGCCACGAACACTGGTCCCCCCAGTGTTCGGCCGATTTCGGCCACGGCCGAAAAGCCACGAACACTGGTCCCCCCCCCTATCCTCACCCCGTCAGGGCCCAGCGTTTAGGGTTTCAAGGCCTCAAAGCCTGTGTTTAGGGTTTCAGGGCCTCAGGGCCTGTGTTTAGGGTTTCAGGGCCCAGCGTTTAGGGTTTCAAGGCCTCAAAGCCTGTGTTTAGGGTTTCAGGACCTCAGGGCCTGTGTTTAGGGTTTCAGGGCCCAGCGTTTAGGGTGTCAAGGCCTCAGGGCCTGTGTTTAGGGTTTCAGGGCCCAGCGTGTAGGGTTTCAAGGCCTCAAGGCCTGTGTTTAGGGGTTCAAGGCCTCAACGCCGTGTTTTTTCAAGTTTCAAGGTTTTTCAAGGTTTTTCAATGTTTTTTTAAGGTCCCCTCCCCCCCCTCTCTCCCCCCCTCTCACCCCCTATCCTCACCCCGTCCCCTCCCCTAATCTGACCCTATTGTTCGTCGGTGGAAGGTTCAGTGGAAAACGTGTCCGAGTTGGGTAGGTACTCTGGGGAAGATGACAACCGTTTATTTTCTTAATGTTATGGGATTCTTTGGGCGGGTGGGTTTTTTTTTCTGAGCCTGGAATGAATACTAGAACAGTGACCCTCTAGACCCTAAACCCTAAACCCTAAACCCTAAACCCTAAACCCTAAACCCTAAACCCTAAACCCTAAACCCTAAACCCTAAACCCTAAACCCTAAACCCTAGACCCCTAGACCCCTAGACCCCTAAACCCCTAAACCCCTAAACCCCTAAACCCCTAAACCCCTAACCCCTGAACCGTTAAGGTGCCCCCCCCCTTGAGCCCGAAGACGTGTCCGAAGTTGTGGGAGGCTTTGAAGATCCCGGCCCCGGAGGTCAACGTCGCCAGTGCCCAGGCCGACGGCCGAGCTTCACAAGGGTAGAAGTGACCTCTTATTCATATAGGGCCTTTAGGGTTTAGGGTTGAGGGTTGAGGGTTACGTGTTGGGATGTTCACCCTTATACTAATATTCTTGTATCATCATATCATTATATACCATATCACTACATTCTTATGTTATTAGATTCTTATATGATTTTCATATTCTATTACTCGATCGCGAAAGTGTTCTATTGTTATCAAGTGGTATTGGTATAGTAATAATGCAATATCTTCTTATATCATGATTTCAGTATGTTATGATATTATGATTATGATATTACAATATTAGTATATAAGTATATTACTATATTACTATCTTACTATATTACTATATTACTATATTACTATATTACTATATTACTATATTACTATATTACTATATTACTATATAACTATGTTACTATATTACTATATTACTATATTATTATATTACTATATTACTATATTACTATATTACTATATTACTATATTACTATATTACTATATTACTATATTACTATATTACTATATTACTATATTACTATATTACTATATTACTATATTACTATATGTGAAGTCGACCAGCACTGGACTTGCACTAAGCCAATGCAATCACAGCCCGGTCACGCTGTTTTACGACTTCGCGAGTTCAAGCACTTGTGCAGCTACGCCTGAGTGCGTCCGGTCGGACCGCACAGCAACCTAAGAGCTACTGTACGAAACTACCGTGCTCAAAGGCACAAGCTCGGTACTTGAGCCAAAACATTGGCATTGTTACGAATTGCAAAACTACGCATGCAAAGGAAAACTACTACAGTACTGGCCCTGGCAGCTTTGCACATGCAGCGTGCGTGCATAGACCTGCTCACATTCGCCCCTCAGCCGAGGCTTCCAGCTCATCTCGAGCTCGGAGTGCAGCAGGCACTCGCGCTGAACACAGAAAGGGAAGGGAGAGGGTGTCGCGTGCGACCGCGGTGGTCCGCACATCATGAGCATTGGCATGCGGCAGGGACGCTAGCCCGCACCACCAAAACGAACGCACGACGACAGCAACCCTCAGCAGCCCTAAACCGCCCTTTCCCTGAAGGCCCTCACCCTTTTGCTGGTGGGCGAGGCTCCTGAATCCTCGAGCTGGTCTCTAGCTGCCAGTACGCAGACTATGGTACAAATGGTACACTGTACAA